ACTGCATGTAGCTAACGAGGCTAGCTGTATGCTAGCGCAAAACAATGTATTCATGCAAGTTACATTGTATGGTAGCAGAATACCCGTATACGATTGCAATTATAAACACGTTATTGCTAGCCTAATATGAACCACTAGCTTTTGTTCATAGTAGTTTTATTACACTGCATTATAGTTGCCTTTCCTCCAAGCTAACGTTCATATCGTGTTAGCTACCAAGGTAAACAAAGCTAGGTTAGCATATTAGCAGGCAAGCTGTTCATTACACAACTACTACTAACGAATCTAAAACAACTAAGTTTCTCTAATATTTTGTGATTTGCATTTGATTTCGTCCAGCCAGATCCTGGCGGACAATCCATGACGGGGAAGGGATTCTACTACTACTGAGGCGTCGTGCTAAAAGGCACCGCACCGCACCGGCTGTGCGCAGGCAAGAGGAGGAGGAATGGATGATATACCGTGTATATATGTATATTTATGTTCATTTTGTACATTTCTAAAAATAAAGTTTAATGGAAATACTTAGTAGGCCTATCCTTTCTTCCCTGAATTCATATATAGCAAACCATGATTTGATTTCTCATCAAACAGTAGTAGTTTATAACGGGTAAAAATAACTTACTCTTTGTTATGAGCGGCTCGTAGGCCACAACGGAAAGACAAGGAGACATACACGAGTTTACAAAACCACGGCACATTTATTGTGGTAAATGCAAAGATAGGTGGTTGAGAGGATCGCAGAGTTAGTCTTCCTGCAGCCGCTTTGGAGAGAGACTGGGGCCGTAGTGTCCGGAGGTGTCCGTGATCGTGCTGATTAGCTTCTTCAGCTCCACCCCATCGTAAGACAAAGGCCCTGGGGCCGTCACACTCTTCTATAACAACAGTTAAAAATATATATGTATATAAAATATACCGCTGTACCGACGCCATGATAAGACTGATGTTACGCTGAGAGCAGCCGGGAAAAGCACTGACATGGGCGCAGCCTCTCTGGTGGTTGACTAATCAGAACGAGTGGCCGAGCTGACCAATCGGAGCACACTAGGCTCACAGGGAGGGGGGGGCAAGAGCTCCAACGAGTCGTTTAGTGGAGAAAGTGAATACTGCTGAATACACATGCTTGACAGAGATGCTGTATGCGAAACCAATGTGAGTTTGGAAAATTGCACAGTATAAATCTATTTTAGTATACCTCAACAATGTAATTATGATCAGTGGAAATGGCCATGACATGGGCCCTTTAAACAAGAGCATTCACATACACACTTTTTATTCTGTGTTTAACATTTGAAACTGCGCCTAAATTGAACTTTAAATAAATGTTGGTGTCTTGTACCTTAAGCTATCTCAGCACTGTGTTAAAAACACACATTCTTAAGAAGGTGTTTCTACACTTCGAGGTAGTATGTGAAGTAGTAGTAGTATATTCTTTTTTTGATACCTATCAAGACAGAAATTGAGGAGGTTTTCGGCTCACAGGGCCCTGGCTTTTCCTCGAAAAAGTCATGAAAGCCATTCCCCTTTCAGTCTGGACGCAGCCGATATCAATTAGAGCAGGGGTGTCAAACTCAATTTCATCACGGGCCACATCACGGGTCCTTTGCACTCAAAGGACCGGTTGTAACTTTAAGACTATATAAAAATACATATATAAATATATAATATATATAAAATAATGTATTATATTACATCATTGCCTCTGCTTTGGATTATTATCGGATAGGGTAATACCTTCATAATTAACTCGGTCTGAAAGCAGAAGTCCAGGGCAAATAATTGCAAGTCTCTTCAGTGAGAATGTCACAAAATGATTTAAAAAGAAAAGCAAATATTCCCTGTAATGCTACTGTATGATGTCCTTTTGTTGTTCTGTTTATGTTTTTAATGTTTCATGTGGAACCTACTTGAGCAGGTCTCCCTTGAAAAAGAGGTCAATGATCTCAATGGGATACAACCTGAATAAATAAAGGTTTGAAATGAAATGAAATGAAATTAAAAAAAAGGTGACATTTTGAAAAAAGAGTCAATTCTGAGAAAAAAGGCATATTTAGGAGAAAAAAAGTCAAATCTGAGAAGCATTGTGCTCCATGTATGGGCAACGTGCTTCTGTAAATCGCCATGTAACCTTATAACAAACATATTATATTCTTTGCAAGCTCTTGTGGGGCCACATAAAATGAAGTCGCGGGCCGGATTTGGCCCCCGGGCCTTGAGTTTGACACCCCTGAATTAGAGCTTTCTGTATTTGTACGCAAACAACCTTATCAGGCTGGGGAGACAGAGGAGGGGGTGGCAGGCGCCGAGGTTGTTTTTAGGGGAGATAGTTGAATTAAATAACAAACTTACATGTTTTCCTAAATTCCATAGAGGATTGTGTATGGATGGATCTGTTGCAGCTTGAGCTTAATTTGCCTCTTTTCGTCTCCAGCAAGAGAATATAGTAAAGTTTAGGATGTGATCCACCAAAAGCAGACACTTAGAGGTCAAGTGGACTGACAGAATAAGATGTAACATGACCATTGGCAGCGTGTGGTTGGGTGGGGGTTGGGGAACCTAAGTTAACTAAAGGAGGTCGTTTATATGTCTGTGCCCAGGGGCCCAGCGATTCATAACCCTTCTTCAGAGCACTTCATGTGTGTTGCTTATTTGTGGAATGTGAATTTGTCTGTTTTTATAAAAAAAGTGCTGTAAAAAAACTTCCCAGAGAAGAGGATAAAAAACAACCTTTTGTACCCCACACACGACAGACTTCTGAAGAGCAGAGTCCTGTCTGGACGCCCTGCTGAAAAAGGTCAGCGGTCACGGCGGGAGCAGAGGCATGAGCGTCAGCAGTAGCATGATGTGACCTTCAGAGGGAGGGAGGGGGGGTTCCTCAGCTGCAGGAAACCACAGAGAGTCAGAGGTCAGACTGAAGATTAGAACAATATGTGGGGCTCTGAGGAGCAGATTTACACCCAGAGACCGGCAACAAGGCTCACAGATCTCTCATCATAACTTTGGAATCTAAATGGTAATTTTTTAACATCCATAATTTAATAAAGGGAAATGTACACACTCAAATATTCTTGCTAATGTAGTTTGGATTTTTACATTTTTTGCATACACAAAATCCACATACCATGACTTAAGAACGCACTACATATAATCATACTTAGTGTTAAAAGTATGTATGTTTAATTGTCTTTGTGATTTATTTAAATATGTGTGTACATTTACATTGAATTGGGCTTTTCGAGTTTCCTTTTGTAAGGAATTTTGAGAAAATGTAAATAAGGGACAAACAAATGTTGGAATATTGAGGCAGAGGCTAAATAACAAGTCAAAAAAGATATATGGCTTTTTTAATTACTTTACAAGATTACATTGGCAGCACCAGGTGCTAATTGGTGTACTTGTTATCAATACTTTTATTTTCTGGTCGATAATTAGATGTTTTGAAGTTTCATGCTGATTGCAACATCACCGACAGAACTTGAAGGCGTCACTTGCAGGAGCGATAGAGAAGAGCCCACTGCGCATGCTCAGAGCATCTTCCGCCCGGTCGGTATGGAGAGCTCCGCTGCAGAGCAGGCGCTGATGCGTGGAAAACATCTTTCGACGCATTTTTTGTCAAATGTCCGGGCTGAGCAGAGTGTGTGAAGACTTTGAGAACTCTGCAGGTTATCAGCCACTCCGCCTCCTCCTTCATATGGTGGGAGGAAGAGGAGGAAGGGGACACCTTAAGGAGGAGGGAGTGGGGGTGGATGCAGCCTTATCAATAGCAGGTTGATCCAGTTCAAACTAGTTCTGCGATTGAGGCTCTTCTCTGGACTTAAATGAAAATATTACCTCACATTTTCTTATTTACGGTATTAAAATAATGACATTATTTTGGGGATATCACTATATGCGCAAAAACGGTGCTGCAGTGTTTATTGGCCAACTTGCTTTCATGGACATTATTGTTTCCAGCATTAACAGCTTTTATTATCTTTGACGGTGATGACACAACCTCAGCGTTGTCAAAATAAAAGCACGCGCATGTCATAGCACCACTTTATACCATGAATGCTTGAGTGTTTAATGACAGTCACTGCTAATTGGGGAGGGTCGGGGGAACAACAAAGGGTCGGATCACCAGCTCCACCACCGTGCGTAAAGCCGGTTTTTTGGTCGCTGCTGGTGCTTTGGTGCAAGTAGTCAGACAGAATGGCTGAGGTTTCAGATGCGCAGTAAGGCGAGATATATTCTCCATGTTGAGGCTGTTGCATGACAGGAGCAGGGTGACAAAGCGGAGGGAAGCCGGGGAGGAATCACTGCAGTGCAGCAGAGCTGTCAGTCAACAGGCGGAGGAGGCTGCACTCACACATTATATGGCGAATAACAGCTGATTTTAACGATTAAAGTGTGATTTTAACGCTGATTCGTATCAGAATATAGACCATTGGAGATATTTTCCACCTACTTATGTCAAAGTAGTATATTTACATGGGCAATTACGTAATTTATAAACGATCTAGGTGCTTAGAAAGGAACTATTTTCACCTCAAATTGATCATCAACCTCCATTATAAGTAATAATAAGCTCAGATTTTCATTATAAACTGCAGTCTCCCAGTTAGAGGGTTTCCTCCGGTTTGACGCATCGCCCCCTCTTTACCTTGCGCCTTTGTATCGCCTCCTTTAATAGCCATCTGAAAAAACCGGGGATCCTCCTCACTGAAAGACATTAAGAAGCCAAACCTGTTCAGAAACAACCTCTATACGCAATCTCGCCATCCCACCCACTTCTCCTGGGCTCACATCTTTAAAGCCCACACTTCTCCGGCTCTGATCAGATGCAGAGAGACACAGTCTGCCTCATCCTCCTCCCTCTGCGTTTCCACCAATCTGTGCGTCGAGAGGTCCACCCCAACCCCTGAACCTGAATCTACCCGCCCTGCTGGCATATAAATACGGCTTTAATCACAACGGCACTTCTTGGTCGTCAGAAACGCTCAGGGTTGCAGCAGAACATCCCCCTTCGTCTTATCCCATTCATCGTTTCTCTGTTTTATAACAAAAACCTCATCCATTTTCACTCTCCCCCCCACTTTTTTCCGAGCTGTAGTGGTTTTTGCGGCCAGTTGCATGCATTTTTCGTCTCCCAAAATGGTTTGCGAGACTAAAATTGTTGCGGACGAACATGATGCTATACCTGGGACCAAAAAAGAGTCGATGATGTGGAGCTCTGCGCCGGCCAGCGCAGCTCTGAACCCCGCAGAGGCGAGGGATGTAAGGAAAGATGTGGTTTATATCCGCGAGTTCGAGTGCGGGGATCATGAGGAGGTGCGGCGCATCTTTTACGAGGGTATTATGGAGAGGATACCCAACACGGCGTTTAGGGGGCTCAGGCAGCATCCCAAGACCCAGTTTTTATATGCTCTTCTGACAGGTAAGTCCCCCTCTTTACTTTGCATCATGCATCTTTAGACCCACTTTCCCATAATAACAATAATGAGTTATTTCTAATCTCTGTTGCGCTTTTTTTTGATGTTCCTATAGTGTGATTTATTTGAGGAACTTGTCTTAAAACTATCGTGTAAATGCCCTGAAGTTAAAAAATGTGTTGCAGCATCACCAAAGGGTGCCTCTTTCCACCGGCACTCACCGGCATGTTGCTCCTCGCGCAACAAAAGGCATGACCGGGCATGGTGCACGTGTATAACCGGCGGACCCGCTGATTTTGTGTGATGACATGTCGGCGCCGTGAATGAATGAGTGAATGAATTTGAGGATTGGCCCACGGGGTGCGCGCACGTACCCAAAAGAAAGCACTCCAAACCCCCCACGCCAGCGCACCCCAACACTCACATTACAATCCCCCTCTGCGCGCACACCCCTCCTCCCCGCCTCTGCGCCAGTCATGCACTGACCACTTTTGGCTTTTGTTGATATTAAAGCCTATTTTTAAAGTGTACGGTGCCTTTACGCACGCCAAAATCAAAGAATCGGTTGACATTTTTGAATATTTCGGCAGAAAAAGTGTTCATTTGGCGATATTTGGACTGCAAGGCACAACCAATAGTCCTGCCTGTGAAATTCCCAAACAAATTCTATTTCCGTGCGGTTCCTATGTGATATTTATAGGAAGAATTCCCCATTGCACCCCCCTCTTCGTGTTTGACACTAAACTGGAATAAACTCATGTTATTGCATGAAACACAACATGCTATGCAGCATCCAGCCTGCTTTGTTGAGATTGCGCCCCCCAGCGTTACACCCGACTAATTACTGGAGTTTGGACTTTTGGATTTAATGATTTTAATACTAACATGCACTGAAAGTTTTACCCTGCTATACTAATGTGCCTTCAGTTCAATTGCTGCATTGTGTCAAACTAATCCTAATCTCTTTTTATGAAAATGTAAATGTACAATTTCACTTTATTGAAATGTCATATTGCTCTACTTCTGTGTGTGGTCAATTTCCTCCAAATCAAACATGTGATTCTCTTTTCTGACAGGTTTCGTTTATTTTTCTTCCATTTCTCCATAGTAATGTGCTTTTTCGTGACCAAATCCGTCACGCTGACCTGCTGTGCGCCCCTCTTTCTCATGGGCGCGCGCTACTTCTACAGCAGGAAAGTTATCCACAGTTATCTGGACTGTGCTCTGCACACGGACATGGCTGACATAGAGGCTTATTACATGACACCCACAGGTAAGACGAGGGAGAAACGTCACCATCCTTAATACACTATTAAGATACACATTGTCTGGTTTGTCAGTAGGCAATGCTCCACCAGTGTTGATTTTAGCAATAATAACTTTTAAAAAGTAAGGGAATGTAACTTTGCTGCAGCTGGAAGGATAAAAGGTAATGATGTAAGGCAGTGTGATTTACACACATCTATTGTAAAACTAGCCAAGAATCTTCAGGCCATCCAGAGGCAACATCACATATGCAGCTCCTCCACCCTTTCTTCCCACCCCTCCTCCCTGTCTCTCTCTCTCTCTCCACTCCTACCCCCACTTGCTTCCTCTCTGAGCTCCACTTGGTCACAGGCTGCATCACGGGTTGCATCACAGGGCTATTGATCGCCACGGAGGAAACTGCTGATACACTTTCTGCAGTACACTCGGTGACGGCAAGGCTCATTTCCTCCACTAAAGCTGCTAATTGGAAAAAATCAATCCACCTCCAGTGTCATCACAAACTATTCATTCTCTCAAGTTTGGCCAACCACAACCACAAGTAACTTCCTGGACATGTTTATCCCGTGTTAACCCGAAGCACATGGCCAAAATAAAAAGCAGGTGTTAGTTAAGCCAGTCAATTGCCCCTGCCCATTGTCTCTTTCTCTCTGACATTGTGCCCTCTGGCCTGGTAATCCACCACATACACAATTGCAATTTAGCATTCCCATTATTGCCGCAGGGCCGAGATGGTTTAGAGGGGGTCAGGCCCCACTGCTCCTGGACAATGCTAATGATTATATCCGTACAAACTGAAAGGGCCCAGGGGGACGAACACCTGGGAACAGGCACGTCCAGGTCACCCGTATTTACGCGCTGGCACCTTGGAGTATCCGGTCAAGTACAGAATGCGACACTAAAAGGTCCTTTGAACTTCTTATTTTGAGGGACGGTCTACCAAAACAAACAGGTTTCTACCAAAGTTCGAGCAGTTTCAGTTATGTAACATGAGTTTTTCTTCGTGTTGTGGGCGTGGCTCTGTTGGAAAAAGATGATGTCACATACTTCTGCGTGCCAATCAGGGTAAAAAAACAAACAAACAGTTGAATCAGAATTGAATGAAAGTTGTGGCGTTGTTTGCTTATGTTGACAATTCAATCGATCAAATCAGACCTTAACTTCGATTTTTTTTGTTGCAATTTTTTATGAATATTTAATGAAGAGAGAAAAACTAAACACATTATTATCACCTTTAAGCCAGTAATCCGTTAGTTGTAGAACCATGGGTCTCCAAAATCAACCGGGAAATCCTTCTGTCATCTGTTAGCCGACTAACGGTAGAAAAGAAAGAGACTGATTCATAGAGAAATGTCAAACAGCAGAGAGTAGGATATATATATGTCGTATATTGTACCTGCTAGGATCAGACATTAAGGGCCACTAGTACACAAAGTAAACAGCACTCTGTGTGATTCCACTCTGCTAACTAGCTGTTATTACACCGAGTAGCTCACTAAAGAGCCAGATCGATCTGAATGTCCTCACTCCGCACTGGCACAGTTTATGTTAGAATGTGTGTTTATCTGTCAGGCATCAAAAGTGCAGACACAATCCCAAAACACAGCGTCCACAATGAACCCTTGCTGTAGGAACTAGTCAAATAGGTTGGGAATTCATTGAAAGTTAAAGGAATAATCTTGGCATATTGGAAGTATTGAGGACAAAAAGCAGCTACAATATTGAGTAAATGTATAATTGAGGTTTGTGTGTGTGTGTGTGTGTCTTTGAGGGCATGTAAGGTTTCCACTTCCAGATCTTTAAACATAATTGTAATCAGTGTTTACTGAGATGTTTTGATGTAGTGTTTGATGAATCATAGCCTTACAGAATATGACTGCAACCCAGCAGTACACCGACTTAAAGGAGTAGCGCTACTTTAATTGCACAGAGGAAGAGAGATTAAAGGCAGGGAAGAAGGGAGAAAAAGAGTGGCTACTTTTCCACAGTTACTTTTTTTGACATTTAGGCAAATTGCGACTTGAATGAACTCTAGTGAGTAGACAACAAAAGATTGGCTGAGCTAAAGGGAGCCACGTTTCCCTGTGCACATCACTACAATAACACACTAATCAATACTCTTATCTCCTGTGTGTGTGTGTGTGTGTGTGTGTGTGTGTGTGTGTGTGTGTGATCACTCACTCTGCTGCCACTTAAGGCCAGCTGTCACCTCTTTCATTTGCCACGTAATAAAGTGTGTGTGGGTAGGCAGAGAAGCTTTGAACGAAATTGAAAGAACAATGGCTAGGAATTGAATTTTTTCTCAAAAAGTCTACTATTTAAATTAAACCGTTTCACTAAGTGATTGACAAGTTAAAAATAATTCAATTAATAAAAGACATCAGCTGGAATAAACCTCTGTACACTCTGACTCCTCTTTTTTCCATCTGTCTTTCTCTGTCCCTCCTTGGACGCAATAAACCAATAATGACTCAATCTGGCAGTCAATATGTCTGCCGCTGATGTGTTAATAACAACAGTGAATCGACTTTTAGAAACTGTTAACGAAGACAAAATACTTGAATCAACTGAAAACATTTTTCCCACAAACAACAAACTTTAGTGAAACGCCATTTAAATGATTTGTCTTCAAGCATTTTTACCTGATTTAATCGACACTGAAAATCAAGACATTTGTTAATCCATGTGGGTGTGTCATCAGATACATAAGTGTGTGAGTTCCCTGAGTCATACAGAAGCTAAAACTATTTGGAAGAACTCAAGTTTTCATTTTACTTGCCAGCGTTTGGGTGTGTAAAATAAATCATATCATTTGGATGAATTTCAGGAAAACAAAGCCAAATAAGACTCGAGTCATCAGTCCTGAGAAGACAAGTGTTTTTTGGTTTGTGGCTGTTCCATTGTGTGTACACTATGTGTGCATAGAAATCAATTTTATAAATTATAATTCAACATTTAGTTTCCATATATGAGCATATTTTTGGAAAAAGTAGTCCAGAAAATGTGGTTTTGTGTAAAACAACGAACAAGCTAGGATAGATTAGCAGCACGGTAGCTTTTTCGTGGCTAACAAGCTTTTTCTTTAAGCCCTGTTGAGCTTTAGAAAGCAGCTTACATATTGAAGTCTACCTCTAAGGACACTTTCTAGCAACATCTTTGTGAGTGATTGCTTATGGCACCTTCACCGCTGTGTTCATTTGCACCAGCGTTTCTCATTGTAGCGCTGGCCCGGTTCATGTCAGCAGCTATCTCGTCAAACAGAGTTCGCCTGCTGCTCTCACAGGAAATGAATATCCAAGTAAAAGCTACAATTACTACGACTCTCCATTACCTAATCCCTGTTTCCCCGCATGTCGAACCGTAGGCGGACATTATACCTCCCTCCCTCAAACTTTTTACCCGCTCAATCACTGTAGGTCACTCTGGAGCGGCTTAGTGCCTAAAACAACGAGATATGAGACACTGAGCCAAATCCTCTCTAGCTGGAAGTGATACCCAGTCAGAAACGCTGGCTGTTTAACGAGGCGTCATGGCCACTGCAGCGTCTCATCAACGCATTATGAAACCAGTGTCTCTACAGTAGGGCTGCTCAATTAATCATATTTTAATCGCAATTATGGCTTACAACGATTACGAAAACAACGTAATCTCAATAAAACGATTATTTTTTTATTATTATTATTACTTTTTTTTTTTTTTTTAATTAAATTTTCTTTTTATTGGTTTTTCAGTTGAATTATTCTTAACGTTCAGGGTAATCAACTGTTAAAAACATACTGCTCAAAAAAAAATTCTCCAATAGATTGATGTTTTCAAAGTAAATGGATAATCGTTTTTAATAATCGTGATATCAATTATTGACCCAAATAATCGAGATTATGATTTTTGCCATAATCGAGCAGCCCTGCTCTACAGCATGTGTGTGTGCTCTCCATGGTAACTGCTGGGCTTATTTTAGCTTTGAAAGACAGACAGGGATAGAAAACGGGGGCATCCGGGGGAGGGGTGCGCTTCTCAACAATATGATGGATTTAGTGTTTGAAAGAAAGATAAATAAACTGTTGCTTAGCACACAGACAAAAGGATCTCCTGGGTATATTTCTCAGCACCTCAGATTAATAAGGCATCCTTTTTTCTATCCTTTGCTCTTCTATCCTCTCACAGCGTTTCTCTCTCTCTCTCTCCCACCTGTATCTCTCCTCTTCCTCTTCCGATCTATTTCTCATCCACACTGAAGGTGCAGAGGAGGCGCTGCAGTGGCCAACTGGGTTAGCAATCATCTTGGCACAGAGGAAGTGATGTTTCCTCTCAGCCAAGGAAACAGCCTTCACTCTCTTTCAAAAAATATGATTTATTGTTCGTTCATTTATCAGTGGCAGGCAGGCAGGCAGGCAGGCAGGCAGGCAGGCAGGCAGGCAGGCAGGCAGGCAGGCAGGGGACAGTTACATCACGTACTACGCTGCCCGTTTTAAGCATCAAGTTCAATAACATTCCCAAAAGAAAATTGAATGAAGTGCTGAAACAATACGCCGAATAAACAGTTAAGGTTCAAGGTTCTTTATTTGTCATACGAACATAGCTACAGTGTAGCGATGAAAATCTTAGGTCACAGGCTTCTCCAACAATGCAACACAATAACACAGATAAACAGAAAAATATAGTGCAAGTAAATAGTAAATACAAGAAGAAAAATAGTTTAAAAAAGTGAAATAGTGCAGTAAGAGTCTATATGCAAGTTATTGGAATAGGATATTAGTTAACCTAATTATTTAGGAAATGTTTTAAGTAAGAAAAGCTAAATATGGCTTGGGTCCAGCCGTTGGAATTTGAAGATGTTCTAATATTAGAGGAATTTATGAACATTTTGGGAAATATATACTTGTCCTTTTTATAATTGTACACAACATATGAAGCTACAGCCATCCCTCGGTTAGCTTAGCTTAGCATACATACTGGAAACCGGCGGAAAAATCTAGCCTTGCTCTCCGTAATGCTGCCAAAAAAGCG